TCTGACTCCTTGGATCGCAAGGACGTGCGATGTCTTCACCCGCCGTAACGTTGTCGAAGATTCTAATGATGATGAGGCGAGGCGGAAGAGAGAGTGTCCCGTCGGATCCCGAGAGATCGCCTCGTGAAAGCCTCTTGTTTGCTCGGGGGGTGTTCTTGGGCGTTCTTGGAGCCGCACTGAACCTTGTTAGTATGGTCCTTCGTTGGGCTCTCTTCGGCGATCTTGGAGCCATCTTGAGGCCTCAGAGCCCCGTCGGAACCAGCGCACCATTTACACACCTTGGGTGTCTGAGGTGTGTTGGCCGCTCAGGGCTGTCCCGGGGAGGCGCCGCGGTCATTTGGAGAGGTCTGACAAGCTCGAGGCGGCATGTTAGGATTAATATGAAGCCATACTGGACCAGATTGCAATAATGCTGAAGACATCTTGAGGTGTACGGGGCCATCTTCGAGCCATCTTATTCCATGCACCAGAGTCCTGTGATCCACAACATGTTTCAATGATTTGGTCCCTGAGCGAAGGAGAGGTCCTTAATTAGCCCTCCCCTGTTTGAGCCCGACAGGCACCTCTTGGATCTCTACTGTACCTGAGGAAATCGTGGACGCTCTACGAGCCCCGCCAGTGCCTGGGATTGGCGGGACCGAGGTGCCACTGGCCTCAAGGCGCCGCCGAGATGGCCCACCGCGACCAGGCAAGGCAAGGCCAGGCAGGCCAAGATAGGACCACGCAGGACGAGACACAAGCTGGCAGGATACTCCCAGGCAGCCTCCAGGTCGGCCCGAGTTGGCCCCAGGACACCGTCCGTGAACGTCGAGCGTCCTGGGCGCAAAGTTTGCCCCAAGCAGTACCCAGAGGCCCCCACGAGGCCCCCAAAGTACCCCAAGAGGCCCCCGAGCGGCCCCTCATTGGCCCAGGAGGCTCCGCTGAGAGAGAGGGGGGGAGCCTTCGGGTGTGGGGGAGGGGGAGAGGCAAAGCCCTCCCCCGAGGAGACGGGGGAGCCGGAAGAGGAAGCCCCTGGAGCCTCCAACGCTCCCGGGGGCTGGTCTCGCTTGGTCCCGCCACCGCCTTGGGGCACCCACCTGTAGGGGGCCACATGCGAACCCTACCCCTACCCCTCACGATTTCTGAGGGGCAGGGTGGGGTTCACTTCGCTCGGGAGCTCCCGAACGAAGTGAACCCCACCCTCCCCCTCAGAATCGTGGGGGGTAGGGGTAGGGTTCGCATGGGGCCCCCTAACCTGCCCGCCAGTGATGGGCAGCTTGTCTGGCAGACACGTGATCGGCGGGAAAACACGGGGCCGTCTGCGCCAGCATTGGCGCGCCAGCTGCCCACGTGAGGCCACGCGCAAGCGCCCTCGCCCCCGTGTGTGGCGTGCCGCGCCGGCGGCCCGCGCAGCCCACCGCGCAGGGTCGCTGCGCCATCTCGCGCAAGACCCGTTTCTGATCGTCGCTCGGGGGAGGCACGTTCTGCTGCTTTCGATGCCGGCCCCCCCAGGTGCCGACCCTCGCTCCCGGGCCGGTGCTTCCTCCCGTTCGGATGCAGCTTCTGGGAGGTCAGATTCTGATGTTGCGCTGGTTCGAAATCCGGCTCAATCCCGCTTAATCCAACTTAATTCCGCTTAATCCCGCTTAATCCGGCTTAACCCCGCTTGATCCGAGGCCTATTCCGGCGTAACAGCTCCCAAATGGGGCTTAATCCTCCCTAGTCTTTCCGACGAAGACCTCCCAGTAGTAGAAGTTGCCTCCTAACTCCCGAGCCGTTGTTCGACGGCAGCTTGGGCCTGGCGAGAGGGCCAGCGGAGGCCGCGAGCCCGGCTATCTGTCCACGGAGCGAACAGCCCGATGCGTCTGGCTTGGACTCGGGCGCAGCGGCTCCCCAGCCCAGCCCAGTCCTCCTCCTCTTCCTCCTCCTCCTCCTGGTGTTCCTCCTCCTCCTCCTCCTCCTGGTCCTCCTCCGCCTGGTTTTCCTCCTCCTCCTCCGCCCCCATCCCAGTCGATCCCGCAAAGGGGGGGGCCAGGGGTGTGAATGTGTGTGTGGGTGTGGGTGTGTGTGTGTGAGAGTATGATCGGTTTTTGCACCGCACCGCCCAACACAGCTGCCCCCCAGCCGCCGGCAGCTCCCGACAGTTGCCGACGACGGGTGGGGCATGCGGGGGGCATCTGCTCGCGGCAGTTCGGTGCACCAGCGGATCGAGCTTCTGCGCCCTCCCTCGGGGTCACTCCCGCTTTTGGCGGGATCCCGATGCGGGCAATAGAGATATCCACATCCAGTGCGTCTTGGAGTCTTGGGCTCCCTTCCCCAGAAACCGTAGACGCACTGGATATGGATAACAATCCGGCCCCAAGAGGCTTGATTTTATCCATATCCAGTGCGCCTCGGCGTTGCGGCACCTCTTCCCAAAAAGTCCACGACGCTCTGGATATGGATATCAGTACTGCCCGCACCCGGCCCAGGCGCTCCGCATGGTCACCGAGTCGCTGGACCAGCATCCGGCAGCCTCCAGGCGCCACGGCCGGCACCCGGGCGCGCCCCAAAGGGTGGGGCTCGATGGCCGTTTCCCGGATCCGACCCGCCCTGGCCGACCGGGGTCCGGGGGGGCGCTCGGCGGCGCCCTCCAGGATCGGGGGTCTGCAAAGGAGGGGCCTGGCATCGCTCGGACGTGTGCGTTTTTTCCTCGGCGAGGACCATCGAGGAGCATCCCTGATCATTTTGCCGAAAAAGCCGCGCACGAAACCGACAAAAAACACAGGGAATGGACGTCCGAGCGATGGCGAGGGGGGGCTACTCTGGATCGCTGACTAATCGCCCCCCCCTTGGAGTGCCAGGGAGGGTTGGCCGCGGCGCGTCCGCAGGGGTGCCCGGGGGGGTCTGGGGTTCGTTCCCTTCCCCGCTGGAGCGGGGGGGTGGTGCCGGGGGTGGTTGCCCGCGCCGCGGTTTCACGTTTGGCACTCCCCAGTTGACATTCGGAGTAACGTAGCACCCCGCAATTGCGGATAAGAGTGAGGGGGCGGGCGCGGGCGACGCGGGCGTCGTCGAGCGGGCGGACCTCGTGGCCTCCACCTTCCTTGTCGATGGCGCTCTCCTCCACCTCCTCCTCCTCCTCATTCTCCTCCTCTTCCTCCTCCTTCTGCTCCTCCTCTTCCTCGTCCTCATCGTCATCGTCATCCTCCTCCTCCACCTCGTCCTCCTCCTCCTCCTCCTCCTCTTCTTCCTCGTCCTCCCTCTCCCCCCCTCGTCTTTTCATCATGGTCCTCCCATTGTCGTCCTCCCCCTCATCGGCCTCCATCATCGTCCTCCCATTGTCGTCCATCATCATCATCATCATCATCCCCATCCTCCCCCTCCTCGCCCTCCTCCTCCCCCTCCTCCCCCTCCTCCCCCTCGTCCTCCTGCTCCTCCTCCTTTTCTTTCTCCACGTTCTCCTTACATCCTCTTTCTTCCACGTTCTCCTCGTCCCCTGTTTACTCATCCTGCTTCCCCCTCCTTTCCCAAGATAACTGCAACGCAATCCTTATTTTCCACTTTATGTTCCCCGCCTTCTCTGATCAAGGCAATTCGCCAGGGCAAAGTTGCTGGACGGGCTGGCGTGGATGCGCGGGGCGTGAAGAGGTCCTTGCGGGCTCAGACGGCATGCAAGAATCCGCCGCCGCGCTTGTGCGGCATTGGTTTGTTCGGTGAACGTGGTTTAGGTCGCGGGTGGGTCGCGGGCTCTCCACCTCCATCTGGAAGGAATGCAAAAGCAGCCCGCCGCAAGCGCCAAAACAATTGGTTTGTACACGGAACGAGGTTTGGGTCGCGGGTGGGCCGCGGGTTCTCCACAGGGAACGAATGCAAAGGATGCCCGCCGCCGGCGCCGAACATGTGGTTTGTACCCTGAACGTGGTTGGTCGCGGGTGGGCCGCGGGCTCTCCACCTGAAGCGAATGCAAAATATGCCCGCCGCAGGCGCCGGAAAATGTGGTTTGCACCCTGAACGTGGTTTGGTTCGCGGGTTGGTCGCGAGTTGGTCACGGGATGTGTCGCGGGCTCCCCACTTGGAAAGAATGCAAAAAAGCCCGCCGCAGTCGCCGAAAATTGTGGTTTGTACTTTGAACGTGGTTTGGGTCGAAGGTGGGTCGCGGGGCAGGTCGCGTGTGGGTCGCGGGTGGGTCGCGGGTGGGTCGCGGGTGGGTCGCGGCGTGGGGTCGCGGGTGGGCCGCCGGGGGGTCGAGTGGAGTGGGTCGCGGTTTGAGGTCGCGGGGTGGGTCGCGGGGTGGTTCGCGGGGTGGGTCGCGGGGTGGGAGCGGGTGGGTCGGGGTGGCGTCGCGGGTAGGGTCGCGGGGGGGTCGCGGGGTGGGTCGCGGGGGGGTCGTGGGGGGGCTGCGGTGGGACGACGACAACAAAAACAAACAACAACATACACAACAAACAATAACAACAATACTACAACAAAACCAACAAACAACAACAACAACAAACAAACAACAACAACAACAAAACAAACACAACCAACAAACAAACAAACACCAACACACAACAAACAACACACAAAACAAACAAACAAACCAAACCAACAATAACACAACAAAAACAAACAACAACAACAACAACATTTACTAGCACGTGGGGACACACCGTTCTCACCAGTGCCAGGGTTTTCATCGGTGGCGGGCAATACCCCCACTTTGTGGGGGGGCCGGTTCAAGCTCTACCAAATTTCCAAACGACTCTTCGCCACCACCCACACCCAGCTTCCCGCCCTATGACGTTCGGACACTTCACTTCGTGGCATGCGGACGACCGTGGCTACTATTCAGGGCCCCGCGGCCGACGACGACGGCGTGCGAGCGCGAAGAAAAAACGAATGTGTCCCGCATGGTATTATTTGACAGGGATGATGGCCCTGGCAGGTGCGCAACCGTTGTTGCAGAAGTTCGAAAAAGTCTCGCAAAAACCCGTTTGACAGAAATGATTAAAAAGTGTTGGGTTTCTTACGAATCCGCAAGAGCGCGCGGGATGAAATTTTGACATTTTTTTTTTTGAAAAAACCATTGTTTTTTTTGGTGTTTTTATGTTAAAATCGCTACGAAAACTAAGGTTGAAGGATTGTCTTGCTGCGCTGCGGAAATGTCCACTTACCTTAGTTTATTGAAAAGGAGGCGAACAGTTTGGTATATGAACAGACAAGTCCACTTGTAGATTAACTCTTTGCAAGGGGATAAACAGATAGTAAACTAACACAACCGGATCCGGACTCCCCCGTTTTGCCTGAGACTTCCTCACGAAAATGATGAAAATGAGGCTGCGGCCTAGGAGCGGCGGGGGGGTCGTGCACCAGGGGCCCCAACAATAATTATTCTTTAGAAGTAATAATGTTCAACAACAACAACAACAACAACAACAACAACAACAACAACAACAACAACAACAACAACAACAACAACAACAACAACAAACAAACAACAACAACAACAACAACAACAACATGATTCCGCACCGCGGAATTCCACATCAGCCACGCACCCAGGGACAGTGAGTGACCGTTCGGCCCCCTCACTCTGATTATTCCAAGGCTCGAAGAAACAGCAACGGCGAAAACATGAACTGCAAGCGCTCCGCGCAGATTTTGTTGGGCGGCGCCTCCGGCGCCGCCCCTGGGGGGTCTAGTGCAGATCCAGAAAATCCGCGTGGGGCGCCAACCGTTTGTTTCTTTTCCCGTGATCTCCACGCGGGGTCAGGGAACGGGCCCGGTTGGATGCTCACATTACCTTCCTTCCAGGAGCCGCCGCGGGCGATGCGTCTCCCGACCCCACTTCTGCCTCTCCCCCCTCAGGGGGGACAAAAACACACAGACACAACTAATCGCCAATTCCGTAGAAAATATTGGAAAATATGGGAAGTGGAGGGAAAAAGAAAAACCCAGAATCTATTGGAAAATCTGGGGGATCCTGCTATTTGTTTTTTTTTTCTGTGTCCCATGGTCCCTACTCCCCCCCATGGAGTTATGATGCTCCAATCTACTTCAGCCTTGATCACCAGGAAGAATTTCGAGCGGCCAGAACAATACCCCAAAACTCGATGGTTTTCACGTGTCGGGCCTTGCGAGAAACTCGTCCGACACTGTTTCGACACTCTTTCGACACTTTTCTGGGTGCTCGAAATTATTGAATCGCTTCGCTAATTCCGTAGGCCCTTGAGCCCTCTTTAGGGCCTCTTGGGGGCCTCTTGGGGACCTCTTGGGAGTCTCTTGGGGCTCCTTGGCGGCGTCTTGGGGGCCCCCAAGGCCTCTTGGGGGGCTTTTGGGGGCCTCTTGGGGCGGGAGGGGGGGTAGTCGATTGCGGCTTCCCCCTCGGAGACCACGATCCTCGTGAGTGGTGTCGAAAAATGACCCTCCCCTGGAGTGCTCTGGGGGCTTCTCCCTGGACCTTGCCGGGGTACTTTTCGTCCGGGGGCCCCCAGGGGCCGCTCCGCGCGCGCGAACTAGAAATATTGTTAGCCAGTTGCCGGAGATCTTAGCACGCCTCTGACCCGTTTGGCCCGCGAATTTCTGGGATGTGGTCCTGAAGTAGCATGGGAGCAACATAACCCATAGAGTCGATCTTGGCTGTTTTAAGTGCCCGTTTCGAGCAGGTGGAGTCCCTCCCCCATGGGACGCACGGTCGCAAACAGTCGCACGAAGCAGAGGTCTGGAGCCAGACCCCCCCTCTTCCCCCCCCTTCCGCCCAATGTCTAAACGCCGACTGGGGAGACGTTCACCTTTCTAGTAGAAGGATTTCCACGAGATGATATCCGCGATTGGCAGAGGAGGAGATGGACCAGAGTGCACCCCATGACACCCTTAACGACTCCGACTTCCAGGCTCCAAGGCCCTCCTCGCAAGTCCATGCGGCATGCGTGCTCGTCGCTGCGGGAAGCTCCCCCATCAGAGACGAGCGATCCGTGGCTGCTTGCCCGGTTTTGCAGAGGAGGGTCCTCCTATCCTCAGGAGGAGGAAAAAAACACAGACACAAGTAATCAACAAATTCCCAGAAAATATGGGAAAATGTAGGCAGTGGGGTGGAAGACAGAAACCCAGAAAACATGGGAAAATATTGGGAATCCTTCTATTTGTGTGTGTATTTATTTGTGTGTCCCAGGGCCCCTTCATATCCATCTGGCGATTCGGAACAGAAGGCAGGACCAGACACCTCGAGGACGCGCCCAGCGAGAGCCCCAGCTTGAAGTGAAACAGCCCGCCACTCATGAAGCCGTTGCACGTGTTGACGACCCTGGCCTCTGCCGCACTTGGGCCCCACTTTTGGACCGGAACCGCCCCCCATCCATAGGGAAACGAAAAGTGACATAAACATAAAAACTCGGAGGTCCGCGCGGATCTCTCGGATCGGCGCTGGGGCCTCCCGGCGGCGCCTCCGGCGCCGCCCCTGGCGCGCTCCGCGCGCCAGGGAGGGGGGTCCAGCGCGGATCCGGGAAATCCGCCCGGACCTCCGAGTTTTTCCCCATATCCTAAGGATTGGGGTTCTTGTTA